AGGGTAAATGGTGCTAGTTTTTGTCCATTGAGTATGATGTTGGCTGTGGGTCTGTCATATATGGCTTTTATTATGTTGAGGTATGATCCTTCAATTCCCACCTTGCTGAGAGTTTTTATCAAAAATGGGTGTTGAATTTTGTCGAAAGCTTTTTCTGCATAAATTGATATGACTATGTGTTTTTTTTCTTTTAATTTATGTGATGTATCACGTTTATTGATTTGCAGATATTGTACCATCATCCTTGCATCCCTGGGATAAATCCTACTTGGTCGTGGTGTATGATCTTTCTGATGTACTGCTGGATCCGATCTGCTAAGATTTTGTTGAGCATTTTGGCATTTATGTTCATGAGGGATATTGGCCTGTAATATTCTTTCATTGTGTTGTCTTTACCTGGTTTTGGTATTAGGGTGATGCTGGCTTCATAGAATGAGCTTGGAAGTGTTCCTTCCTCTTGGATTTTTTGTAGTAGTCTGAGGAGGATAGGTTTTAGTTCTTCCTTGAATGTTTGGTAAAACTCCCCTGTGAAGCTGTCTGGTCCTGGGCTTTTGTTTGCTGGAAGCTTTTTGATGACTGCTTCAATTTCTTCCATAGTTATTGGCCTATTGAGATTTTTAGATTCTTCCTGATTAAGTTTTGGAATGTTGTATTTTTCTAGGAATTTGTCCATTTCCTCCAGGTTGTCTAGTTTGTTGGAGTAGAGTTGTCCATAGTATTTTTTAACAATCATTTGTATTTCTGTGGGATCTGTTGTTATTTCATCTCTATCATTTCTGATTTTGTTGATTTGAGTCCTTTCTCTTTGCTTCTTGGTGAGCCTGGCTAGAGGTTTGTCAATCTTGTTTATCCTTTCAAAGAACCAGCTCTTGGTTTCATTGATTTTCTGTATTGTTTTTTTGGTCTCTATGTCATTTATTTCTGCTCTAATCTTTATTATCTCCTTCCTTCTGCTCACTCTGGGCTTTTCTTGTTGCTCTCTTTCTAATTCTTTGAGCTGTAGATTTAGATGATTTACTACCATTTTTTCTTGTTTGTTGAGATAGGCCTGTAGAGCTATAAACTTCCCTCTCAGGAATGCTTTCATTGTGTCCCAAAGGTTTTGGATTGTTGTGTTTTCATTGTCATTAGTTTCCAGGATGTTTTTAATTTCTTCTTTGATCTCATTGGTAACCCAATCAATATTTAATAACGTGCTATTCAGCTTCCAAGTGTTTGAGTATTTTGAGTTGTTTTTATTGTAGTTTATTTCTAATATTATGGCCTTGTGATCTGAGAAGATGCTTGGTATGATTTCAATCTTCTTGAATTTGGGGAGACTTTGTTTGTGACCCAATATGTGGTCTATTTTTGAAGATGTCCCATGAGCACTTGAGAAGAACGTATATTTTGTGGCTTTGGGGTGAAGTGTTCTGAAGATGTCAATTAAGTCCATCTGATCTAGTGAGTCATTTAGGATTGCTGTTTCTTTGCTGAGTTTTTGTCTAGCAGATTTATCCAGTGATGCCAGTGGTGTATTAAAGTCCCCTACTATGATTGTATTGTTATCGATCTCTCCCCTGATATTTTCCAGGAGTTTTCTTATGTATGTGGGTGCTCCTGCATTGGGTGCATATATGTTTATCAGGGTTATATCCTCTTGTTGTATTGATCCCTTTAGTATTATGAAGTGGCCTTCCTTATCTCTTGTTATGGTCTTCACTTTGAGGTCTATTTTATCTGATAGAAGTATTGCTACCTCAGCTTTTTTTTCATTTCCATTTGCCTGAAAGATATTTTTCCATCCCTTCACTTTCAGTCTGTGTGAGTCCCTTCTAATAAGGTGCATCTCTTGTAGACAGCAAATATATGGGTCATGTTTTTTTTTATCCATTCAGCCACTCAATGTCTTTTGATTGGACCATTTAGTCCATTTACGTTTAAAGTTATTATTGAAAGGTACTTGTTTGTAGCCATTTCTATTTTTTTTTGTGTGGCTGTTTTCTTTCTGGGCTTTTTAGTTCTCCTTTTTACACCAGTCCCTTTAGCATTTCTTGCATTGCTGGCTTGGTGGTGATAAACTCCCTTAGCCTTTTTTTTTGTCTGTGAAGCTTCTTATTTCCCCTTCAATTTTGAATGATAGCCTTGCTGGATAGAGTATTCTTGGATTCAGTCCTTTGCTTTGCATCACTTTTTAAATTTCTGTCCATTCTTTTCTGGTCTGATGTGTTTCTGTTGAGAAATCATTTGATAATCTGATGGGGGATCCTTTGTAGGTAACTCTCTGTTTCTCTCTTGCAGCCTTTAAGATTCTCTCTTTGTCTTGTACATTTGCCATCGTTATTATGATGTGTCTTGGTGTGGGTCTTTTGGGGTTCATCTTGCCTGGGACTCTCTGTACTTGTGTAACTTTTTTTTCCCCCATATCTGGGAAGTTTTCTGACATTATTTCTTCAAATAGATTTTCTGATCCTTGCTGCTTTTCTTGTCCTTCTTGCAGCCCTATTATGCGTATGTTACTTCGTTTCATGTTGTCCCAAAGCTCCCTTAGGCTCTCCTCCTGCTTTTTAATTTTTTTCTCCAGTTGCTGTTCAGATTGAGCTTGTTTCTCTTCCTTATCTTCTAATTCACTAATTCGGCCCTCTGCTTCTTCTAGTCTGCTGTTGAAACTTTCCATGGTGTTTTTGATTGTAGCTATATCACTTTTCATTTCTTCCTGATTCTTGCATAGGTTGTTGATTTTCTCATCCATCCGGTGAATGAATTGTACAACCATTATTCTGAATTCTTTTTCTGTCATGCTGCATGCTTCAACTTCATTAATTTCCTTTCTTGGAGACTCCTCATTGTCTTTCCTCTGGGTGTTGTTTCGTCTCTTCATTCTGATTATCTCCTGATGGTTCAAATGTCGAGTTGCGTGGGCCTGGGCCGTGTGCAGTGGGAGCCTCCCACCACCCTAGTGTCACTGAAGAGCTCTGACACTAAGATATGTGGTTGTTGTGGGTTGGTGGGAACCAGGCTCGCTCAGAGTCAATGTTGTCAGCGCTCAATGTGGCCTCGTGCGTGCCCTTAGGATCAGGGACCCTGCCTGCACCGTACTGAAACAGAGAACCCCCTGGAGCGTGTTGAAAACCAGAGCCCCCTAGCGTGCGCCAGGAGTCAGAGTTCCCCAAGAATCCAGTATCAGAGTCTCTGTTGCTTCGTGCGACCTTGCTGTGAGAATCAGGGTCCCTGTGTGCCCTTGCACCAGGAATTAGAGTCACTGGCTCTTAGTATGAATGCACAGGAAATCAGGATCTCAGGCGCAGGTGATAAGAAACAGTCAATTCACTGGTGCTTGGTGCTGCCTCCTGCCCAGAGAATCGGGGTCCCTGGGCCTGTGATATGCGGGACAAATTCCCGGTGTTCGCACAATTGCTCCCAGCCCAGGGCTCAGAAGCCCGCAGTGCGTGTAGGCTCAGTTCCTAGGGTTCGCGCGTTTGCTCCCAGCACAGGGCTCAGAAGGCAGCAGTGCACGTAGGATCAGTTCCTGGGGTTCGCGCAATTGCTCCCAGCCCAGGACTCCTGAACCCGGCCCTACACGGGATTAGTTCCAAGGTGCTGGAGCACTTCCAGGCCAAAGTTTCTGGAGCGCTGAGGCCCTGGCAAGGGGTGGGTCTATCAGTTAGTTACTCTGGCGCTGCCCTCAAGCCTGCGGGAAGGGGGGATGGGCTCTGTTACTCACGGATCTGCCACGGGGATTTCTGAACTTTTGGTGTCCGCAGGTCTGTAGCTGTGGTCACAGGTCTCTGTCCCCAGTGGCTGCAGGGTCCTGGTATGCATCTAGGTTTTTAACTTTTCAATTACAATTGACATTCAATATTATATTAGTTTCATGTATACAGCACAGTGGTTATACTTTTATATAACTTGTGAGTGGTCCCATCAATAAGTCTAGTTATCCAACTGACACCACCCATAGTTATTACAATTTAATATAGACCATATTTCCTGTCTGTACTATACATTCCATGACTATTTTATAATGACAGCAGAGGTTTTAAGGGTAGTATTTCAAGATCTAATCCTCAGACTTTCCTGTCAGAGAGCAGTATGTTATATCCAAAGAAATTAAGTCTCCTGGTAATAGTTAATAGATTTCACTATTAAAATTTAACTGGAAATGGTCATTTTAACTGCAATGTCAAATTATTTATAATGGGAGATAGCTCATATAATTTATCCACTATTCCCTTCCCAATATTAAATACTAGAGGCCCAGTACATGAAATTCATGCATGGGGGGGGGGGGGCCCTCAGCCCGGCCTGCACCCTCTCCAATCCTGGACCCCTTGGGGGATGTCCGACTATGGGATTGGGCCTAAACCAACAGTCAGACATCCCTCTTGCAATCCGGGACCACTGGCTCCTAACCACTCACCTGCCTGCCTGGCTTGTCACCCCTAACCACTCTGCATGCCTGCTTGACCGCCCCTAACTGCCTCTACTTGCTGGCCTGATCATCCCTAACTGCCCTCCCCTGCTGGCCTGATCGCCCCAACCGCTTTCCCCTGCCGGCCTGATTGCCTCTCACTGCCTCTGCCTTGGCCCCTGCCACTGTGGCTTTGTCCAGAAGGAGGACCAGATGACCGGAAGATGTCTGGTTGACCCGGTCTAATTAGCATATTACCCTTTTATTAGTATAGATTAGTATAGATGTACTTGTCCATTGTACACATTGTAAGAGGGACATCTGACTTTCTTTCCTTCAGTCTTCACTGAAGCATAGCTCATCATGCCTTGTTCTCTCTGGGTATCAGGCCCATGATCTGTTAGAGCAGTGGTTCTCAACCTTCCTAATGCCACAACCCTTTAATACAGTTCCTCCTGTTGTGGTGACCCCCAATTTCATTCTTACAAATTGAACATAATGAAAGCATAGTGATTAATCACAAAAACAGTATGTAATTATATATCTGTTTTCCGATGGTCTTAGGCGACCCCTGTGAAAGGGTCGTTCGACCCCTAAAGGGGTCACGACCCACAGGTTGAGAACCGCTGTGTTAGAGCCTTTTGGTATCAGGTCCACAGCTTCTGGTTTCCCAGGACTCTCTTAGTATTCCTAGCCTTCAATGTGGACTTGGGAGTCCTGGTCTATTTCCTCTCTCTATACTCCAATGTTCTGTGAGGCTATACACAGAACTTATTACTATTATGACCTTTATTTTGGCACCATGTTAAAAGTGGAACTTCTTTCTGAGGCTTGTGGTCTTCTTCTCTACAGCATAGACACAAGTCTAGATATTCTTGAATATGTTTTCCATCTATATAAAATTTCTATTACCTCCTCCAAATGAAACACAGAGGGTTGGGGAGTGAAGTGCTGTGTAACTTTGGAATCTAGGCAACATCAAAACCAATTCCCACATTCTTAGATCCATGACCAGACCTCCCCACACCAATGTACATCCAGCATCCAGGGTGATTCCTAGCTGATATCAGGTGTCTGATGAATTAGCTTCACAAGAAAAATAGGTTTTTCCTGTTTATATAAATATTACATGCTCATTGGAAAGAAAAACAAAAAAATATAGAAAAATGCAGAAAAGTTAAACAAAAAACACCTAATACTCCACCAACTCTGAAACAGCCATCAAGTTTTGGAGACCATCCCTTCATTCATGGATCTCAAAAGTTCACACAAATACATAATTTTACATAGAATTTTGTACCATACATGTTGCACTTTCATTTCTCTTTTTCCCCAGTCTTTTTCCTTACTCATAATCTACTTCTCCTCTTCTCCGCCTCCCTTCAAGTTAACCAATGTTAACTGTCTGGTGTAGATTCTTCCATACCTGTTTCCATGTTCATCTAATCACATACACACAGGAATACAGAAATGGGTGTAATTATTTAACAAAAATGAAATATTACACATATACATATCTGTAAGAAAGCAGTTACTTACCAAAAATTATGCAAATGCCTTGGAATCAATTATTGTAGATATAACTCATTTTAAAAAATTACTCTTATGCTATGCTATTTCACACATCAGGATATATCACAATTCATCCAACCATTCTCCTATTAATAGCCATTCATTTTGTCTTTATGTGTATTCTTATGCATTAATGCTGTTATTTCTGTGGGACAGACTTCTGGGTCAAAGCTTTTTATTTTTAACCTTTTGGTAAGAGTACATGGTTTCCCAAACCCCACTCACAAAAGATCTTTTAATTTTGCCAACTCCATGAAGTGAAAGTAGTATCTCAGAGAATGTTGTATTTCCCTGAGTACTATTTAGGTTCATAATATTTTCATAGGTTAATGGACATTTGGAGTTGATCTTCTATCAGTAGCCCTCCAGTCCAGAAGGGTTAAAGACTTCAATGTAAAAATAAAATTATCAGAATCTTAGAAACAAATTTAGGAGACTATGTATAACCTAAGAATTAAGGAGACCATTTAACTAAAATAGTATATCAAGAAAAAAAGGAAAAATGAAAAAAAATATATCTAACTATAAAAATAAAAATATGGTGACTTCTATTATATAAAAATATAAAGACAAATGCTAGATTAAGAAAAACATCTGCAACACAGATGACAAAAGATGAATATCTAAAATATATAAAAGAGCACTTCCAGATTTATTAAACCAATAGAAAAAAAAGGCAAAAGTATATAGGCAATTCATTAAAGATAACCTGTTACATGAATAAAGCATCAAACCTGGATAAAGGCTTTCATTTGTCCATTATTGCACTCCATTGTGAATTTCCTTATAATATTTAATATGATTAAATGTTTTTCCTCATTCATATGTTTATAGACTATTTTTTTCTGTATCTTCTGGTAAATTGATTCCTGAAAGTCTTCCCACTTTCATTATATATACAGATTAACATCTGCAACACAGATTACAAAAGATGAATATCTAAAATATATAAAAGAGCACTTCCAGATTTATTAAACAAACCAATAGAAAAAAAAAGGCAAAAGTATATAGGCAATTCATTAGAGATAACCTGTTACATGAATAAAGTATCAAACCTGGATAAAGGCTTTCATTTGTCCATTATTGCACTCCATTGTGAATTTCCTTATAAGATTTAATATGATTAAATGTTTTTCCTCATTCATATGTTTATAGACTATTTTTTTCTGTGTGTATCTTCTGGTAAATTGATTCCTGAAAGTCTTCCCACTTTCATTATATATACAGATTATGATTTTTCTTATAGACAACTGGATGACTTATTATTCTTTATATTAACTGAGTTTTTCTCTGATGTACTCTTTGATGTACAGTAAGGCTGGAGCTACTCCTAAAGGTTTTTCCACATTCATTACATTTATAGGGTTTTTCTCCAGTATGCATCCTTAGGTGTACAGTAAAGTCTGAGTTTGTTCTGAAGGCTTTTCCACATTCTTCACATTTATAGGGCTTCTCCCCAGTATGAATTCGCTGATGCAGAGTTAGCTGTGAGAGAGTAATACAACCTTTTCCACATTCTTTACATGTATAGGGCTTTTCTCCAGTATGTGTTCGCCAATGCACTATAAGGTATGAACCCCTCCTGAAGGCTTTTCCACACACATCACATTTATAGGGTTTCTCTCCACTATGGATTTTCTGATGTTCTGTGACATGTATCATCTGGCTAAATGCTTTCCCACAGTCATTACATTTAAAAGGTTTCTCTCCAGTATGTGTTCTCTGATGGGTATTAAATCCTGAGTTACTTGTGAAAACCTTCCCACATTCATTACATTTATAGGGTTTTTCTCCAGTATGCCTTCTTTGGTGCACAGTAAGCTGTGATGTATTAGTAAAAGCTTTCTCACATTCATTACATTTATATGGTTTTTCTCCAGTATGGGTCCTTTGATGTATAATAAGGTATGACTTAGTCCTGAAGGATTTTCCACAATCACAGCATTTATAGGGTTTCACTCCAGTATGAATTTTCTGATGCTCCTTAAGATTTACCATTTTTGTGAATGCCCTTTCACAGTCAGTACATTTATACGGTTTCTCTCCTGTATGAATTCTCTGATGTACAGTTAAGTGTGATTTTATTCTGAACGATTCCCCACATTCATTACATAGATAAGGTTTCTCTTCAGTATGAATTCGTTGATGTATAATTAGAGATGAGGAACGCATGAAGGCCTTTCCACATTCACTACATTTATAAGGTTTCTCTCCTGTATGCATTCTGTGGTGTACTGTAAGGCATGAATAATTAATGAATGCTTTCTCACATTCATTACATTTATAAGGTTTTTCTCCCGTGTGAATTCTCTGATGTTCTGTGAAATTTGCTATACGATTGAATGCTTTTCCACATTCATTACATTCATAGGGTTTTTCCCCAGTATGAGTTCTTATATGTACAATAAGGCTTGAATTACTTCTATAGGCTTTTCCACATTCATTACATCTAAAGGGCTTCTCTCCAGTATGAACTCTCTGATGAACATTAAAAATTGTGGTATTCTTGAAGGATTTCCCACACTCATTGCATTTATATGGTTTCTCTTCAGTATGGGTCTTCAGATGTACACTAAGATATGACTTATTCCTGAAGGCTTTCCCACAATCATTACATTTGAAGGGTTTCTCTCCATTGTGAGTTTCTTGATGTCGTGCAAGTTTTGACTTATCACTAAAAGCCTTCCCACATTCACTACATTTATAGGACTTCTCTGCAGTTTGAATTCTCTGGTGCTGATTAAGGCGTGCACACTGGCTAAAAGATTTTCCACAGACATTACACTGATAAGGTTTCTCCTTAGTATGAATTCTCTGATGTACCATCAGTGATGAAGAAGCAATAAAGGCCTTTCCACATTCGTTACACTTATAGGGTTTTTCTCCAGTGTGAATTTTTTTATGTTGACTAAGATATGAAGGCTGACTAAACATTTTCCCACATTCATTACATTCATAAGGTTTTTCTTTAGTGTGAGTTCTTTGATGCTGAATGAGTAATGACCTATAACAAAAGGCCTTTTCACATGTACTGCATTTATAGGGTTTTTCTTTGTTATTATTTTTTCCCCTTAAAGTAAGTTCTGAAGCAGGCTTTATAGTATTGCTGCCTTCCGTATCCTTGCAATTTTTCTTCCCCAAATGGGTATCTGTATTCAAATCTAAATTCTCTGTGAAATTTTCCTCATGATTTTGGCATTTGCTGTGGAACTCTTCTGTGGTAACTCCTGGCTCTGGACAAAATATAGACCCAAATTTAATGCCTCTTTGGCCAGTGTGAATTTTTTTCTGTGTAACTATTTGGCTCTGACTCTCCTGACTATTTTGCAGTCTCAATATCCTGTCATTCCATTTCCACAATCCTCCCATTCTGGAGTGCCATAGACCATTCTCTGCAAGTTTCTCTACTCTGGTTTCCTGTGACAAATCTTCAAAGATATCCTCTGTTAGTATAGCATATTTGGTTGCTGGTTTGGTCTCCAACTCTGGGGAGGGGAAAAAGAAAAATCAAATGAGTCCATTTTCTACATTAGGGAGTTCTCACTGAACTGAATAAGAGGAAAACATGGGCTGACACTGAATATGTTGTTTTTAACTGCTTGTAAATTGGCCTTGTTTTCTAGGAAGAAGGAGCTAAAGTTAAGGGAGACTGGTTGAGCAATGAGCCAAATTAGTAAATTCAAGGAGTTTTCCTCTATTCAAAAAAGTTATTTATGGTAATGGTCCTAGAATATTTGAGAATAAGTCTCTCAAATATTTCTCTTTCATTTCCTTTAGAGTCAACTTCAATTTCTCTTTTTAAAAATCCTCACCCAAGGATATTCTTTCCATTGATTTCTAGAGAGTTGAAGGGAGGGAGGTGAGGGAGAGAGAGAGAGAAACATCAACCGGAGAGAGACACAATTGCATTTAAGGTAAGAAGCTTACTAGAAAATCCCATATAGTTCAAAATAAAAGAAAAATATTGCACAATAACCTGAGGGCCAAAGACATAACAGTAGAAATGATCAAATACTTTGAACTCAATAATTATGAAGGTGCTATATAAAAAAAGGTGTGATACAGTCTTGGTAACCTTAAATATATTAAAAATGGCTGAAAATCAATGATATAAGAAAAAGTCAGTAAATTAAACCCTAAGAAGGTAAAAATAATGAAATGAGACATAATGAAACAAATTGAACACACAATAGAAATGATAAAAATTATTCTTTAAAAGCCAAGTAAGATTGATAAACTCTTGCAAGACTGATTAAAAGACAGACAAAAAAATTAATCTCAGACATAAAAAGAGAGATCACTTCAGATCTACATAGACTTTTAAAAAATCAGCAGAGGGCAGTGTGCCATAAAATTTAAATGTTAGATTAGATAGATCAATAAGCCTAATTTGTTGAAACAAAAAGAAATAGGAAATAGTTCTAAAATTACAAAAGGAATAGAAGCTGTAATTAAAGGCTTTGCACAATAAAACTTCAGGTCAACATGGCTTTCCTGGTGAATTCTATGTACCATAAAATATTTAACTTTCCCTCTCTCTCAACTCTTTATTGTCACAATAAATTTATGGTCTTGCTTTATATTTTATTGAGAATATAGGTGCTATTAAAATAAAATGCCTCCATCTTCCCACTACCAGTTGACCTATGTCTTCTCCATCTTTCCTAGTGATACAACAGGGGAGGTGGCCTCTCTGTCTATTCCATTCTAAATTCCCTCCTTTTCCATTCTAGATTTTCATTCCCTTTTACCTTTTTAGACACTTTAGTAGCTTTAGCTCACATGGGGTATCTCCAATGTCTACTTTTCATTCAATCTTTTTAAAAATATATACTATCTAATCCAGTGATGGTGAACCTATCGAGCTCAGCGTGTCAGCATTTTGAAAAACCCTAACTTAACTCTGGTGCCATGTCACATATAGAAATTTTTTGATATTTGCAACCATAGTAAAACAAAGACTTATATTTTTTATATTTATTTAATATATTTAAATGCCATTTAACAAAGAAAAATCAACCAAAAAAATGAGTTCGCGTGTCATAGGTTCGCCATCACTGATCTAATCTAATAAAAGAGAAACATGCAAATTGACTGCACCTCTGCTACGCCCCCAGCCATGCCCACCAGCCAATCAGAGAGGCTATATGCAAATTAAACCAACCAAGATGGCAGCCAGCAGCCACAGAGCTGGAGCAAGCAGGAGGCTTGGTTGCCCCGGCGATGGAGGAAGCCAAGCTTTCTGCCTGCCCTGGCTGGCTGTGGCCTCCACTCAAGGCAACAAAGTTTCAATTATAGAAGATAAATAAGTCCCAGATATCTGCTTCCAGCCAGCCTCCACTGGGAGCTTGGGTGGCTGGGGGCTGTGGACAGCCTGCAAAGAGCCATCAGCCCCTCACCCAGGATGGCCAAACCCTCATGGGGTGAGGGTCCTCGCTGGGGGGCTTGGCCAGCCTGAAAACAGCCATCAGCCCCTCAACCAGACTGGGCAGGCACCCCAGCAGGACCCCCCCACCCTGAAGGGGGTGTGACCAGCCTGAAAATGGCCCTCAGCCCCTCACCCAGGCTGGCCAGGCACCCCAGTGGGGACCCCCACACTGAAGGGGCTGTGGCCAGCCTGCAAACAGCCATCAGCCCCTCACCCAGGCTGACCAGGCACCCCAGTGGGGACCCCCACCCTGAAGGGGCTGTGGTCAACCTGCAAACAGCCATCAGCCCCTCACCCAGGCTGGTCAGGCACACCAGCAGGGACCCCCACCCTGAAGGGGGTGTGGCCAGCCTGAAAACGGCCCTAGGCCCCTCACCCAGGCTGGCCAGGCACCCCAGCGAGACCCTCACTCTGATCCGGGACACCCTTCAGGGCAAACCAGCCGGCCCCCGCCCATGCACCAGGCCTCTATCCTATATAATAAAAGGGTAACATGCAAATTGATCCAAACAGCAGAATGACTGGGAATGACTGGTCACTATGACACACACTGACCACCAGGGGGGACGCTTAATGTAGGAGCTGCCCCCTGGTGGTCAGTGGGCTCTCACAGGGGGAGCTCTGCTCAGCCACAAGCCAGGCTGACGGCTGCTAGTACAGCGGTGGTGGTGGGAGCCTCTCCTCCCTCCTCAGCAGCGCTAAGGATGTCCGACTGCAGCTTAGGCCTGCTCCCCATTGGGAAGTGGACATATCCCGAGGGCTCTCAGGCTGCCAGAGGGATGTCTGACTGCCAGCTTAGGCCCAATCCCCCGGGGGTTGGGCCTAAGCCAGCAGGTGGTCATCCCCCAAGGGATCCCAGACTGCGAGAGGGCACAGGCAGGGCTGAGGGACCCCCCCTGAGGGCACAAATTTTTGTGCACCGGGCCTCTAGTTTAATATATAAAACAACATAAGAACACATATGCGAGTATGGATGGCATCATAATAAAATGCTCAAATGAAATAGAACCCACTTATCATCTCCACTACTATCGTCCTTAATCAAATTTACTATGGTCTCTTGCCTAGAGTATTTTTAACAATCTTTTAACTGATTACTTTATGCCCTTAAATTCGATTTCCATAAACAGGGTTATCCTTGATTAAAATCTTTCAATGCCTTCACACTCACTTTGATTAAAAACCATACTCCTTACCATCATCTACAAACCCTTGAATAGGCAGTCTCCTGTGTCTCTAATCTTATTCTACACCAGTCTCCAGCTCATTTATGCTTCATCACAGCAGCTTCCTTTGGTTTCTAGAATGCATTACATTATTTTCTCTATCAGGTTATTTGCCTGGAATGTTCCTCTTTTCCTCTTTCCGTCTGGCTTCTTCTGGTCCTTCAAGTTTCCGCTTAAATGTCACCTCCTCAGAAGCCTTCCTTGACCACACTATAAGGTGGCAGCCTCATTCCCTATCCTAGTTACTCTTTCATACCCCCCAGTTTATCTCACAGCTAAATGTTATTACTATCACTATTTAGCTTGTTTTTGTTCATTTACATGTTTATTATCTATTTCTCAAAAAGTAATCTTCATGAGGGCAGGGACCTGGTCCATCTTACTGCGGTAGACCAGTACCTAACTGTGCATATATAGCTGACTCCATTTAAAAACTGATCCTTCTGAACCCTTAACCCCATTCTCTTTCCCCTTGGGAACACTATGAATGTGTACAGAGACTCCAGGTTAATTGTGAATTACCATTATTCCTTCCTCCACCATTAGTCCTTCCTCCTAGGAAAGGTACCCTCAATGTTATCTTGCCCTGGGGCCAGAGCCCCCATTATCTGGTCCTTTTGTTCTCCTATATCACCTTGCATTCCTTTTGGAGTACTAGGTCCATTTCTTCGGAAGGTGTAGAACAGGTGGTCTGGGGGTGAATGGGGCCTAGGACTGTGTTTCTGTAAGCTCTCTATTAAAACTCTTTAAACTGACAAGCTAGACTTGTCTGCTTTGTTCTTTGGCCTCTCAAATCCTTTGGAATTTGGGGGCTGATTTGCATACACAGTCTTTTCACGAAACACTAACCCAGTTCACAGTATACAAATGTTTAATAAACACTGATTATATAAATACTTTATTTTGACTCCCAACTGATTTTTTGTTTGTATTCTTAATTAGTTGAAAATCCAAATCTGAGAGATTGTCCACAATATCCAAGCTTGTTTGTATTCTCAATTAAGAACCCCTAAAGTTTCAACAGGCTTATAGATGAAGAAAGTCAAATAATGACCAAGTATGTTTAGCTTAAAATAAATCAGTGTTGATTCTCCAAGAAAGCATTTTCAGAAAAATTAATAAATGAAAACCATATCAGATAATGATTAAACAAAGAAAAAAATATAAATTTAATTGGAGACAATAGAACTGAAAGGAATATTTTATGTATGTTTGAATGAAGAATAAATAAAAGAACAGTAATTAAAAATCATGAATCCAAGAATGTTGTATGCATCCCTATGTTCATAGCAGCACAATTTACAATAGCTAAGATCTGGAAATAGTGCAACTGCCCATTAGCAGATGAGTGGATAAAAAAAGATGTGGTACATTTACACTATAGAATACTATGCAGCAGTAAAAAAGAAGGATCTCTTACCCTTTGAGAAAGCATGGAGGGACCTGGAGAGTATTATGCTAAGTGAAATAAGTCAGTCAGAGAAAGACAAGTATCACATGATCTCACTCATATGTGGCATCTAATGAACAAAATAGATCCAGAGACACAGAAGCATGGAACAGACTATGGTATCTCAGAGGGAAGGTAGGGGTGGGTGGCTGGGTGGGAAAAGATCAACCAAAGAACTTGTATGCATATATGCATAACCCATAGACCCAGACAATAGGGTGGTGAAAGCCTGGGGCAGAGGGTGGGCTAGAAGGGGTCAATGGGAGGGGGGAGGGGAAAGGGGACATATGTAATACTTTCAACAATAAAAATTTCATTAAAAAATCATTAATCCAAGAAAGCAAAGTAGGATGGGACAGGAACCAAAAGTAGAGGACTAAGAGAGGGAAGAGGGGGAAAAGAGAAGGAAATGAAGGGAGGGGGGAGAAAGAGAGGGAGAAAGGTATAGGGACAGAGGAAGAGAAAGAATCTTTTCCTCTGAGATAGCTTTGAGAAAAGATACTCTCCAAAATATTTCAGATATTCTGACTCATCCATGGAATAAATCTCATCTTCCTGGTTCTTATGAACTCACCTGGATAGGGGGCTCTTGAAATTTCTCTCATTACCACCCATGGTCCTTTTTTATCCTCCAAACGAGATATCATATCGGGTTTGGAAACTGTAAGCCCTGTTCAGAAAAAAAGGAATAGGATTTGATTGTGCCTATGAGAAGAACTATCGCCAAATTCAGTCTCAGCTCTTAATCTCCTGTGCAGAGTGGCTATTGTAGAAAGTTCTAGAGATGTGCTGTCCAGTAACAATTGCCAATAGTTTCATGTAGCTATTTAAATTTGAATTAGTTATAATTACATAAAATTTAAAATTTAGTTCTTCAATTGGACTAGTCACATTTCAAGTGCTCAAGTGGCTAGTGCTTGGCATATGGCTAGGACTGATGTGGGTCATTCCCACCAGTAGAACATTCTACTATATCAGTGATGGCGAACCTTTTGAGCTCGGCGTGTCAGCATTTTGAAAAACCCTAACTTAACTCTGGTGCCATGTCACATATAGAAATTTTTTGATCTTTGCAACCATAGTAAAACAAAGATTTATATTTTTGATATTTATTTTATATATTTAAATGCCATTTAACAAAGAAAAATCAACCAAAAAAAAATGAGTTCGTGTGTCACCTCTGGCACGCGTGTCATAGGTTCGCCATCACTGTACTATATAATGGGTGTCAGAGAATTACAAAGGTATTTCAAAGTTCAACACTATGACCCCAAGTTTGTTGGGATAACAGATCATGAGAATAATCTGTTTAGAAAGAAAAGGAACAAACAGATACTTAAAAGAGTGACTAGAAAAAATTTTAGTTCTAAATCAGGAATTGTCAACAATCTCCAAGATTCCAATGAAATATGTATTTCTTACTCTGCAATGGGTAGGCCATTTAGTTAAGAGTGAGGAATAGCTAACTCCCAACAATATGCTCCTAAGATGATGAGATTTTAATGCCAAAATTCAGCAAACCTGGTCAAATGGGCAGATGCATATACTTACCCAGGGAGACAAGATTCCTATAATTCTCTAGCATCACATCCCTGTGCAGGCCCCTTTGTGTAGGGTCCATCAACCTCCACTCTTCCAATGTGAAGTCTATTGCCACATCTTTAAATGTCACTGATTCCTAAAGTAAATACATTGTGATCACCCAGGGACTATACAGTAAGACCTGTTAGGTAGAATAATTCATACAGAAGTGAGGAAAAATTTCAGAAATCAGAATCACCAAATGATTATGGAAGTTAATCAGTTCAACCTTTAAAGGATGTATGAATCTCCCCAATGACAAGAACTTAAAGTCACAAGAGGAAACCCATTCTATTTTTAGTTTTATCTACTAGCAGGATTTTTTTTTTCAGACTAATTCAATCTGGATTTCTATAACTTCAAAAAAAATTGGTCCTACTATATTATCTGGATTCACACAGCATGCTTTCCTCCTTCCCTAAGAAGTCTTTAAGATATTTGATAACAGCTACTAGTTTCCACCCAAAGCATCCTTTCTTCTTAAAAAGCCTGGCTTATGTATAATATCAACTCTTTTTCAGTTTCAATCTATAAAATATGGCTTATCAAAAGATACATTTTGTCATTCAGATGACAGAAAAAGATTATAAGATCTCTCTTTGAAAAATAAAAAAAAAAAATCCACAGAATTTTGTGGAACTTCTTTGGTCAGGATATGAAATATATATGCAACTGTATAAAAAATAGAAGAACCAACCATAAAAAATTTTAATCTTACCTACTGGAAGGAGACAATAGAGAGCAGGAAACTGGAATAAAAGGCAGACTCCACTGAATATTTCTTGTTTTATAGATCTGACTTTTGAACCATCTGAATATATATATAAAAGCCTAAGCGACCAGCCGACCAGCCAGTACCTATGATGTGCACTGATCACCAGGGGGCAGATGCTCAACACAGGAGCTGCCAAGTGACAGCAACTTTGCAGAGCGCCCTCTCGCACTTCAGGACCTCTTGGGGGATGTCAGACTGCTGGTTTCAGCCCAATCCCCGCAGGCCAGGCCGAGGGACCCAACCAGGGCACAAATCCATGCACTAGGCCTCTAGTAGTATTATAAAAGAAATACTTAAAATAAACCTATTTGCTCTAAAAGTAAACAAAATTTATAATAGTGTGGGAATATGGTACATTTCTGCTGTGGCATCTAAACCACTTGAAAAAACTACTATTGTATAAGACAAGTAATTTTCCAGGTGATTTTCTATGCCACATGATAAAATCATAGCAGAAAAAATTAAAGTTATATCTTGCTAATTCCCTCAGCATATGATCCCCAAATATATTTGTAATTCTCCCTATCACATTGTCCAAATAGTCTTAAAATCCAAGCAATATGGATGTACTATTTAAACATTTGCCACACTGTTTTTTTTTTTGAAAAATAGATATATTATTTTTAGATGTTTCCAACAACAAAAGCAATCCATAAAAATTAAAAGTGAAATGAAACTAGTTGTTAGAATACACATTTATCAGAAAGACACTATTTTGAGTGGCTTTAAAACACAGTAATTTTTCTGGATTTCCCTTCTGAGGTACACTCCAAAGGAGAAAAAGAACTACAAATAACAAAAAACATGCTTCCGTAAGTAATCATATTGGTGGTGGTAGTGACAGAAATGCTATTTTTTAAAAATATATTTTATCGATTTTTTAAAAATATATTTTATTGATTTTTTACAGAGAGGAAGGGAGAGGGATAGAGAGTTAGAAACATCGATAAGAGAGGAACATCGATCACCTGCCTCCTGCACACTCCCCACTGGGAATGTGCCCGCTACCAAGGTACATGCCCTTGACCGGAATCGAACCCGGGACTCCTGAGTCCACAGGCCGACGCTCTATCTGCTGACCCAAACAGGTCAGGGCTATTTTATTGATTTTTTTATAGAGAGGAAGGGAGAGGGATAGAGTGTTAGAAACATCAATGAGAGAGAAACATCGATCAGCTGCCTCCTGCACATCCCCAATTGGGGATGTGCCCGCAACCAAGGAACATGCCATTGACCAGAATCGAACCCGGGACCCCTCAGTCCGCAGGCTGATGCTCTATCCACTGAGCCAAACCGGTTACGGCCAGAAATGCTATTTTATAACTGTTGTTTGTATAGTGTTAGAGAAAGCAAATTAGTATACTGATGTCATTGAGAACTAATACATTTGGCATGGGAAAAGTAATATGTAAATGTAATATTGATGAAATTATATAAAAACTCTATAGATCCAAAACTGAATTGGAAATATAGTCTAAATTTATGAGATTTTATTTTTAAGGAAAAAAACGTATTTCCTAGCTTTGACCACTGAAAAGTCCTAGAAACAATAACCAATAAGATAGCATTATGCAAGCCAGACTGTGGTTTGTAATATTGCTTCCCACTAAAAGGAATCAAGGCCTGGAACTTTCTGTCATACTAAAAAGCAAGGAAGCTATCAAAGGCTTCTAGGATCATGTCTAGGACAGGAGGCAATTTGAAGAGGCTCCCATTGGCTAATGATGGAACAATCTGAGTATTAATAAGGATAATAACTGTAGTGGATTTCAAAAATATATGTTTAAATTCATAATTTCATAATAAAATTATAAAAATACTCATTGATGATTTTTGAGAGATGATTGGAAACTGGTAATTAAGAAGAAAGAATCAACCTTTTGTCCTTTTTCAATGCAAAATATATATACTTTGAGTAGTAATCAAGTGTGGTCAAATAGTTGATTGGGGAGGTTTCTCTTTATGTAAGTACTCTAGCTAGTACATGAAGAGGAAGAAAAGAATTTGATCACCATTTTGCAATCTTTAATAAATTAAAGGATCATAAGTAACTGCTGTAAAATTAATGAGATATTTCATTTTTTATACCAAGTCATTGAAACATGAGTATTTTAAATTTACAAATATCTGTAAATAGACCAGTCACATTTCAGGTGCTCAACAGCCACATGTACATGTAGGTAGTATCTACAGTACTGAACAACGCAGCTCTAAAGTACAATGACAGTTTCTTCAATAAATGATAACAAAGGGAGGACAAAGAGGGAGGGGGAAATCTCTAGATTAAAAGTGAACTAAGAGACAAAGTTAACTAATTATAACATAATAATCAACTCAATATTTGATAATATTAAGGCTGTTAGTTTTTTAGCTGTTGACTCTTGAACAACAGGGGTTTGAACGACACAGGTTCACTCATACATGGATTTTTTCAATAAATACATACAGCACTTTATTTTCTCTTCCTTATAATTTTCTTAACATTTTCTTTTATCTAGCTTACTTTATTGTAACAATACAATATATAATATGTCTAACATATAACATGTGTTAATTGATTGTGTTATCAGTAAGACTTCTGGTCAACAGTAGACTATTAGTAGTTAAATTTTTTGGGAGTCAAAAGTTATATGAAGATTTTTGACAGCACGTATGTTGATGCCCCTAAACCCTGCACTGTTAAAGAGTCAATTGTATAACCTAACATTAAAAAATAATCTGTTATAGATTATATAATATCTTATATGTGCTTCAAAATAATTAGAGTTACAGGCAAAATAAGATTTTCCACGAATTGATAGCTGTTGAAGATGGCAATAGGTTCATCAAGATTCATCAAACTTGCCCTAACCGGTTTGGCTCAGTGGATAGAGCATCGGCTTGAGGACTGAAGGGTTCCAGTTTTGATTTCGGTCAAGGGCATGTACCTTGGTTGCCGGCACATCCCCAGTAGGGGGTGTGCAGGAGGCAGCTGATCTATTTTTCTCTCTCAACGATGTTTCTAACTCAGCCGTGGGCAAACTACAGCCTGCGGGCCAAATCCGGCCCATTTGAAATGAATAAAACTAAAAAAAAAAAAGACCGTACCCTTTTATGTAATGATGTTTACTTTGAATTTATATTAGTTCACACAAACACTCCATCCATGCTTTTGTTCCGGCCCTCCGGTCCAGTTTAAGAACCCATTGTGGCCCTCGAGTCAAAAAGTTTGCCCACCCCTGATTTAGACCATCTATAAAAACCCAAGTTTATCATCATACTTTATGGTGAACAGCCATATACATTACTCCTGAGACCACAAAAACAAAGATGTCCTCTTTCCTCACTTCAACATTGTATTGTAAGTTTTAGCAAGGGAAATTAGACAATAAAAATAAATAAAAGGTATCCAGATTGGAGAGGAACAAATTTCTATTTGCAAATGACATCATCTCTATTTACAGATGACATTTTCTTGCATATGGAAAACCCTGAAGAATCCCCACACATACACATACACAAAAACCTGTAAGAACTAAAACTAGTTCAGCAAGGTTCAGGATACAAGATCAATATACTTAAGTTAATTATTTCTACACACTAGCAATGAATATTCAATAAAGAAATGAAGAAAAAAATTTATTTAAAGTAGCAACTAGCACCCAACCCCCACCAAAAAAACCCCAGGAATAAATTAACAAAATATGTGTAAGACTTGTACACTGAAAAATACAAAACATCAATAAAAGAACCCCCCTCCCCACACACAAAATAAGAAGACATCCCATATACTATTGGAAAACTTTATATTGTTAAGATAGCAATATTCCCAAGACTGATCAACAGATTCAACACAAGCCCTATGAAAATTCTATATGCTTTTTTTCAGAAATAAATATTAAAAATTATTAAATAATTAGTTCTACTCAAATTATAATTAAAGCTAAGTTCAGTGCTTATAAGCAGAGTGCAGAATTTAAGGAAGAGCCAGAGAAAATTAATCTTCTGCCAGGGACTCACTCTGTCAGAAGAACAAAAAGAAACCTTATGATTTATTCACCATGTCAAAAATTATGGTATTTTCCTAAGGTTCATAATTCAAAGTCTGAAATAACACATAATTTATATTAAAGTCTAAATTGTCATATGTTAAAGAATACTTTAAGAATCATTGGTCCAGTGATGTTTCAAAAAATTAATGTAAAGACTGAAGCTCGGCATTTCTTAAAGTATCCACAGCAGAGAAAAACCAAGATGGCGGCATAGGTAAACACCGGAGTTAGCTGCCTCGAACAACCACTTCACAAATACAACTAAAAGACAGAACGGACATCGCCCAGAATCACAGGAAGACTGGCTGAGGGGAAATTCTTCAACTAGAAGGAAAGAGAACAGCATACGAGATTCAGAGGAAGCGCAGTGCGGAAAATACAAAGGTGCGGAGGTACGCGCGGAGCGGGCTGGTAGCTGAGGGCGCGGTTGTTGTTTTCAATCGGGAAGGAGGCTCAGGCCCTGAGCTGCAGTTCTGGGTGAGTCTCTAGGGACCCAGACTCAAACGGGAGAAGCGGGACTGTCTGGCATCGGTCGGAGCTCGAGGGCAGCTTTCTCTCCGAGGTTTGCAGCAGTTGCTGGGACTCTGAGAGGCAGAGCCTCTGGGGACGGGACTGAGAGCAGCCATAACTGCCCCCTCCACCCGCTCTGTTGATCCCGTGCGACCCGCCCCGCCCAAGCCCTGCACAGAGCCATTTGCCAGATAGCCTCAGGCAAAGGCTAGATTCGCACCTCCCTAGAGGACAGAAGTTTTCCCACTGCAGACACAGCTGATTCTCAGCCAGTTGGCGTGGAGGTCAAATCCCCCTAGTATTAACTACACCAATCAAGGCTTAACTACAACAAGACTGCACACAAAGACCACTAGGGGGTGCACCAAGAAAGCATAAAAAATGCGGAGACAAAGAAACAGGACAAAACTGTCAATGGAGGATATAGAGTTCAGAACCACACTTTTAAGGTCTCTCAAGAACTGTCTAGAAGCCGCCAATAAAGTTATTGAGATCCTCAAGAAATCTAATGAGACCCTCGATGTTGTGATAAAGAACCAACTAGAAATTAAGCATACACGGACTGAAATAACAAATATTATACAGACTCCCAACAGCAGACCAGAGGAGCGCAAGAATCAAGTCAAAGATCTGAAATGCGAAGAAGCAAAAAACACCCAACCAGAAAAGCAAAATGAAAAAAAGAATCCGAAAATACGAAGATAGTGTAAGGAGCCTCTGGGACAGCTTCAAGCGTACCAACATCAGAATTATAGGGGTGCCAGAAGATGAGAGAGAGCAAGATATTGAAAACCTATTTGAAGAAATAATGACAGAAAACTTCCCCTACCTGGTGAAAGAACTCCAGGAAGCGCAGAGAACCCCAAACAAAAGGAATCCAAAGAGGACCATACCAAGACACATCATAATTAAAATGCCAAGAGCAAAAGACAAAGAGAGAATCTTAAAAGCAGCAAGAGAAAGAAACTCAGTTACCTACAAGGGAATACCCATAAGACTGTCAGCTGATTTCTTAACAGAAACTTTGCAGGCCAGAAGGGAGTGGCAAGAAATATTCAAAGTGATGAATAGCAAGAACCTACAACCAAGATTACTTTATCCAGCAAAGCTATCATTCAGAATTGAAGGTCAGATAAAGAGCTTCACAGATAAGGAAAAGCTAAAGGAGTTCATCACCACCAAACCAGGATTATATGAAATGCTGAAAGGTATCCTTTAAGAAGAGGAAGAAGAAGAAAAAGGTAAAGATACAAATTATGAACAACAAACATGCATCTATCAACAAGTGAATCTAAGAATCAAGTGAATCAATAATCTGATGAACAGAATGAACTGGTGATTATAATAGAATCAGGGACATAGAAAGGGAATAGACTCACTATTCTTGGTGGGGAAAAGGGTGTGGGAGATGCAGGAAGAGACTGGACAAAAATTGTGCACCTAGGGATGAGGACAGTGGGGGGGAGGGGTAAGGGCAGAGGGTGGGGTGGGAACTGGGTGGAGGGGAGCTATGAGGGGAAAAAAAAGAGGAACAAATGTAATAATCTGAACAATGATTTACTAAAAAAAAAAAAAAAAAGTATCCACAGCAGTTTCTACTACTAGGAAAACAAGTGTAAATGGTGTTTCCCAACTCATTCTCCCTTTTCAACCAAGCGAAAAACCCAAAAGAAACTCAGAATGCATCCTCTCCCTCTTCTCTCCAAAGAGAGAGAGAGAAACAACCATCAATGGCAAGCGGCAGTTGCCGAAGTAATTCCGAGTGGCTTCATGCTCTGGTGGGAATACTGCTTCTCTCCCTCGTGGCTTCTAGTGCTCTACGCGTTCAGAGAAACTCGTCTAGTAATGAACTGTAGAAATGATCCCTGAAAGTATACTCTTAACATACACACCCCCGCCTCCGCCAGGTCTACCGCCGCCGCACACTTTGCAGTCATGGTGACATAGTTTCCCTAGTTCTCATCCCACTGGCAAAGAAAAAAGCTTTCCAGTCTGTATAATCCTTCAGATACTATCACTCAACAATGATTTTTAACACTTAGGTGGACATTAAATGTCCAAAGTTTTTAAAAAACGGCCACCTCATTAACATAATACTGAACGACAGCCAATCACAACCTGTGCGGTGTAAGCCCAGGAGGCATCACTCAGTTCCAGTGAGGCGGCCCCGCCCCTGAGAGCTACCGGAAAGGGCGGGCTTTTTCTTTCTTAGAATCGAGCTGCTTCCTGTGATTGGTGAAACGTGCCGCGATGGCCGTCCTGAGTTTGACTTTCAATCGCGGGTGGATTTGAGACCGGTCGCTGGTTGCCGTGGCTGTGGCTGGGGCGGGGAGGGGAACTGCAGCTGGGACCCAGCGCTGGGAGACAGTCTTTTGGTTTGTGTGTCATGTTTGCACTATCTGTTCACACTTTCTGAGTTCTTAAAGGTCGTTGGTGCTTTAGCATAAAAAGAAGAAAAAGTAAACATTCATTGGAGATGCATTTCCTAATGAGATGAATAAACTATGTTCCAATTGGTTCACATGGAGTAAGTTTGTCACTAATTCCATTCCTATTTTTGTTTTAAAAAGTGGGAGATTCTGATGCCAGAGGGACGCCGCTGAAATAAGCCTTTTTGGAAGTCGCCGTGGGAGGGGGAGAGGCGTGGATTTCACCGGCTGCAGTAGTTTCTTAGGTCGCAACGTCCTATGTCCCACAAGCCCGTCCTGAACGGGGCAGCTGGGCGGTGAGCCAGTCAGAGCAGGGCCAGTGCCCGGTTCCCGGCCCATGTTGCAGCCCGTGAGGTTCAGCGTTCGGGCCAGATCAGTGTCCATCAGTCCACGGCCGTCACTCCACGCTGGCGCCCAACAGGGCCTGGCGCCTCGGCCGCAGCAGGAGTCCCAGGAGGGCCCTGTGCCCAGAGCCTGGAGTGAGTGGCTCCTCTGTAGAAGTTTGTATAGTTAGATCTTGGCTCGCGGTGGCCACGCCCGTCCCGGCCAATTATGTTTTCAGGTGTGATTGATGGGCAGGCATTTTCCCGCCTCACTCAGACCTGGACGTGTGTTGAAATTGCCTTTGCCCAGTCCCTTTCCCCACTGATGAGCAGGGAACAGACGTGGACAGTGTTAAATGTCGCTTTTGGCCAAGCTGCCTAAATGGCAGGCCTGTATCTAGTCTTCCCTTTGATTCTTTCCTGTTAAGTAATAACTACATTATTATAACGGAATCAGTCTGAGCCCAGGCCAGGCAGCGCAGTTGATTAGAGCGTCGTCCCCATACCCAAAGTTGTGGATTCGACCCCCACTCAAGGCACATACAAGAATGATCCAATGAATGCATGAATAAGTGGAACAACAAGCCAATGTTTCTCTAAAATCAGTAAATAAATTTTTTTAAGTGGAAGATCTGAGGAAACTTAAATAACTAGATGGAACTTAGAATGTCACTTATGTCCTTTTGTTTAATGTCCCAGGTGGTTTTGTTACAATAGTTCAGTGGTTCTCAACCTTCCTAATGCCGCGACCCTTTAATACAGTTCTTCATGTTGTGGTGACCCCCAATTTCATTGTTACAAATTTGAACATAATTAAAGCATAGTGATTAATCACAAAAACAATATATAAAAAAAAATTAAAAAAAGACTGAACCTCAGGATTTATTTTCTCATAAAAACAAAAAGGAAAACTCATTTTTACACAAAACATGTTTGGAATAAAATCAACTTTCAAAGTATAATTTTCAAAAACATCTATATATATAAAAGGCCAAGTGACCGACCGTCCCAACTGGCCAGCTGGTACATATGACCTGCACTGGCAATTAAAAATAAACATTGACTCACGCATGCACGATAAATATAAAGCTCTCACTGGTGCCAATCGCACATGTATGTTCGATCTGTCATTGTCGATTGTGAATTTGGTTGTTTTTGTTGACATTCAACGTGAACTACATTGTGATTCATTCATTGACCGTCCGACCAACTGGCCGGTACATATGACATGAACTGGCAATTTAAAAATAAACATTGACTCATGCATGCATGATACATATAAAGCTCTTGCTGGTGAAAATCACACGTGTGTTTTAATTTTATACTACTACTTAAATCAATTAAGACAGGGCACAGGCCTGGTTGAGCATCTGCTCCCTCGCTTAGGCTTTTATATTTATATAGATATTATATGTACTATTTTGACATGTAATTTTTTAGAGTAACATAATTACTGCATGAATCTTTCTTCTAATTAATTTCCTTTTAATGTGCATGAATCCGTACACCACACCACTACTAAAAACATAATTCTAAAAAAAAAAGAGAGGGGCAGAACTTCTCCTACATAAAATAAAAAACACACCATAATTCTCCTAAAAGTATAATCAACACATGTATGTCAAAGATGTACTAAGTCATTAATGAGACGTAAGCAAGCTTGACAAACTGGCTTACAGCAGGTATAAGAAACAGATGTATAGACAGTGGGAAAAGAATGCTGAAGATTGCAAAATTAGATAGAAACCTGGTAAATGTCCAAAGGACAATAAAGCTGTAACTTTTGGGATTATGTTTTCTCTTAGGTAGAAATAATTTGAAACTTTTAAATTTTCTACAAGTTAATATCTAACTTTAAGGGTCTGAATATTAATCAAAAATAAACACTGAGTCAAACAACAAAACCTTCCCTGCTATGTCAGATGACCCTTAGGTAGGCTGGTCTAATATGACACTGAAAGGGCTTATCTTTTGCCTTATTTCTAGGTTTTGGATAATTTATCTTAATACAATTTATTCATTTCTGATTTTGATATTTTTTTCTGGAAAAAGCAGGTAGATTCTATGTTCACAAATAAACAACAAATATAATGAAATAAGAGTATCTAAACAAATTAAACTCATCTTAAGGATGGGAATATTCTTAAAAAATAGGAAGTGACGTTGATGTATTCTTGATATTTTTAATGGTATTGGGTCTTGCAATGTGAAGCAAGAATCAGACCAGGTGATATAGGACACTTCATTACCAATTACGGCTACCACTACTGAGAGAAATGAGATTTGTCAAATTAACGCTACCAGCCCTGGGACTGCCACAGCTATCACTTAAGATGGTATTCATTGTGAATACGCAATGGACTGCGAACATTACAAGTTGGGGGGAGTAAAAAAGCATTTTCTTTATTTCCCTTACATACAATGGTAAGTATTACCTTTACCAATGCTGGTTCTTCTGCCTGAAGATGATCTTCACCTGGCTGGGAAACTTCAAGAGTCTGAGGGATACAGGGTAAGAACACTCAATGACAGGCTGCCTCGGACCTCCCGCATAGTCTCAAAAAACACCTGCAGGATATAGTATATAGGGGATGACCTCCTCTACTGTTTTATTTAGGGATGGCTGATATCAAGGTCCCAGAGTAGCATCCAATCATAATCTCCTTTCACCTTAGTTGAAACTATAACAAATACACACACACATACACACACACACACACTAGATTGAGAAAGATATAACTGCAGTGTTTAAAAGAGGCCTTTAGATACTACATAATTCTCCTTTTTCATAAGGGATGAAATCTATTCCTCAGAAAGTATCTATCTTACTCAAGAATAATATTCAAAATCTACCAACACCATCTGTTTTCTACAGTTGGATCATTGTAGTGTTAGGGAGGGCAGCATGTCTCGAACCTCAGGAAATATTTTCAGGGACCTCTCATAATATTGTTTTCTTCCAAACCTTAGAAACTCTCTCTCTACAAGAGCCTGATTTTATAGATGAAATGAAATTTTACTATACCTTATAGTAGAGCTTACCAATTTTAGATTTTGTGTCATTTAAAAAATATATGGGTAAAGTTATTTACTTAAATTTCATTCAGAAAAATGTTACCTTAGCTCTCCCCTCCCAAGTTGGTACAATGATGTGAACTTCAACCTCTGATAATTAGGGATGGGTTTGATCAGGCCAATACCAGACAGATACTTTGGGTCTACTAATTAAGTCTAACGTTTTTGTTTTTATTAATCTTTTCAAGGGTATGTTTTAAGGACTAGTTATATGTTATATATGACTACAAAGAATAAAAGATCACTACTGCAGGTTATTATGGATCATACTATAACAAATTCTATTTGTAGGCAGTACCTTTCTTCTGAATCTGCGTATTTCAAAAGTCACTGCTAAAACACAACTTTCATCACATAAATACCCATCTCAAACACACCCATGCACACAGGTGCGTGCGTGCGCTCCCACACACATACACACTTCAATATCTTCAGAGAAACATTAAAAGATTCAGCTTAAATATTTTATTTCCACTCCTATCTTTCAATTTTCCATCTTGAATCACTAGCTCACCCACTGTTTCTCCGCCTCAGAGTCTTGCCCTAAACTTCTTTCTCACCTGAAGTACCTTCACAAATACTTTGACAATTTAAACTCCTACTTGCAATTGAATACCAGTTTAAATCTATCCTCATGAGCTTTCTATGACCAATTTAGCCCATACTAAAGTCCCATTTCTTTCCTTACATAGTACTCATCGTCTTTATCATATTGCTAAACAACTACACTTACCTAAATAAATTATGTAACTATTTCTTTTGTGCCTTATCTCAATGAGACTGTAAGCTCCCTATAGCCAAGCACTGTGTCTTTAACTTCTTCTTCTCTCCATGTCATCTATTAAGCTTGATCACTTCTTAATGGGTAAAAAAGAGGAAATCACTGAGAGTGGGCACAAGGGGAATGCTCCCTATGAATTAAAAGATTGAGTGTGTGTGTGTGTACATTTATTTTTTCCCAAAATTTTCTAAATGAAATTTTCAATAGGAAAATATCCCATTTTACTACCCCTTAAATCCCTGAAATTTCCTGGAAACAAAACACATTTAACATCATAAGTAAATTCCCAGACTGCCTATCATATCTAACAATAGCCTGATATTTTTGAAAGATCTTGAAATTTGCTTCAGTATGTGTATTGAATCTTCCTATAGACTACAGCCTTTACTCATAAATCAAACAATTTGATTCAGTTATCAGGAGGAATGTGGACAAGGTAGAGAAGTCACAAGACTTCAGGAAAAGACACCCTCAAACCCAGACAGCAGATCAGAAACAAAGGAAACCCAAACTTACCAGAGATCCAGCTGAAGAAATCACAGCAGCCATGATCTCTGCCTCTTTGTTCCCCTCCCTAGAAGGAGTGGAGTCCTATAGACATGTCTGAGAAAGAGAAATAAGCCATGAAAACCAGTCTGCCTTGGCAATCTCAGACCTACCATGTTGAAATCCTGACACGCAAGTAAGCATGACTTCCCTGAAGAACACAAGATTAACCCCCAAGATCAGAGAGAAAAAAATATTTTTTCTCCTGAACATCTTGAAATTTTTAATATTATTAAATGTAGTCACACATAGGAGGTCAAACATTGTACAAGAAGCTTTTAAAATACTTCTCATTTGATCTTCACATCAACCCAATGGGGATTATACATATAGATGAGAAAACTGAGGATTAGAAAAATTAATTTATTTCTCCTAAGCCACCCCGGACTCCAAATCAGTCTAATTCCAATGTCCACACCTTTTCCACTAAATCAGCTTGTTGTGATGTGAAAAGTTGATACGTGGAGCCCTTTGAAAATGGGCTCAGCTCCCTCAGCTGAGTTTCTGCTTCGTGCTTGGAGTTTCTTGAACCACTTTCCATCTCACAGTGCAGCAGCAGTACCTGTGCCAAGTTTAAACACAATTTAAAACAACAACTGAAGGTGTTCTACAAATATTAATAATGACTACATGTCAACAACAGTAGATCTTAACTTTTGGGGGATCCATCTGAGAATCTGACCTTGTCCACAGAATAATGCGCATATTATTTCAGGCAGTTTGAAGCCCCACTGACCCCCAAGTTAAGAAGTCCAGTTTGATAAGATTGGAAAGGGGAAAAAAGGCTAAAAAATAACAAGTGAAAACTATTTTTTCCAAAACACTGCTTATGTGACTTAAGATATTTTCAACTCCAAGGAACTACAGTAATGGTTTTCTGCATCTTTAAAACTTATTAAGAATGATCTCCATTCCACATCCACTAAAATACCAAGTGCTAGTGAGGGGAGTGTCTGGAAATCTTACCCATTGCAAAATGGAATAACCACTTTCCATTTTGGCAGTTGTTTAAAAAAAAAAAAAACTTATTAAGAATGATCTGAGTCATCATTTCTTTTTAAATTTGTAAAGATTAATTTCTCCTTGGCAATATACCAGTAGATAATGCTAGTTTAATAGGTTTAACAACCAAACTACAACAAACGTGTTTTTAATTTTACAATCAGAATAAACAATGGTATTTAAAATTTAATATATTCAGTTTAATCTCAATTGTGTAAATTAATAATATAGAAAAAGACTGCAAGTGAGTAAGCCAAACCCACTGAGATCTTTGAGACCTGGGCCTCTTATGTTTACTCTATTTTTCCATATTTTCCAAGTAGACAATACATAGGAGTTTAGTACAGGAGTAAAATTCCAGAGTAGCTTGCACACCCCCAGCTTCTAATATTGGTTTGGCTACGGTGATAATGTGATTATAAGCAGGTCACTTAAGCACAATGAATCAGACATCACCAAATGAGACTAACCAAAGAATGTTTCTACTTTTGCCTTTGACTTTGTGCAGAAGAAATCAGGCCCATATTCTGAGTCGTAATTTCCTAGCTAATTGTTTCTGGGCGTTGTGACTCGCCCACGCCGTCTCCCCAAGCACGGCAGAGTATCAGACTTGGGAGCGACTTCACCTGCTGTGGCTCCTAAGCCAGGGCAGTTATTTAAAAATACGGAGAACTTCAGCGCATGGACCCGAGAAGCATTTCCCAACTAAAGCAATGTCACCGCCAGGTCGGGGAGAGATGGGCGACTTAAAGGCGGTTATGTGAAATGCCGTGAAATGAGCAGACAAGGAAAAGGTGGCTGGTTTGCCCACCTGACAGGTCGCCCATCCTGCGGGATCAGAAGCCAGGTCAGAGACTGCCCCCCGCAGCCGCACCCTCTTTCCCGGGCGGCCCTTCTCGGCCCACGGCGGGGACGCAGAGAGGGGAGGTGCGGCTGAGGGCCCCCAGCCCCGCCCCGCCCCGCGCGGAGCGATCCCACCCCAGCGCGCCGAGGGCCCGGTCGCCTCGGGCAGGGAGGCCGAGCGGACGCTGAGTCCGACCAGGCGGGCAGGAGGCCCAGCCCGAGTCGCCCCAGGGGCGGGTCTACGGGTTCAGGGCTCTGCAGGAGCGGCCACGCCCGCGCGCCAGGTGACAGAGCCGGGAGGTGCGGCAGCACCGGACCTGGCGTCTGGGGCGGGAGTACCTGGCGACCCTACTGCGCACGCGCGAGGGCCCCGCCGCGGAGCAGGGCGGGAGCGTCCCGGCCGGGACGCCGGGGTCGACGCGGCCGCCAGCTCGACAGTGCGCCTGCGCGGCGGCGTGGGAACTACAGCGCCCAGAGTCCTCAGCGCCTCACCTTGTTCTTGTTTCTGAGGGAGTAGGCTGTGTTTATCGTGAATTTGGGTGACCTGGAAATTCAATCAAGTTGAGTCAGTTTTTGTATTGAGAGGCCACAACTGTGTGTCAAGCCCTACACAAGACACTAGACTAGCGTCACAAAGAGGAAGGACACAACCTTTGCCTGAGAAGTTTCTCTGTGACTAAGGACAGAGCCACTAGGACAGGGAGCCTCCCAGGACTGAGTTACAGCCCCAGGCGCCCGCCCGCAGGTGCGTGGCCACGCCTTCGCCGGTCTTTCCTTCAAATTCTTGACGGAAAACACCGGTAATGCCTTTAGTATAGTGGAGCTTCTCTCTTGGCTTATTCAAATAATTTTAATATAAAATGTGATTAATATATTATACCATATAATTAATAGTATTATTAATATGCAGTGTTATTAATGATGATATATTATATATGTGTTATAGAATAATAATAATAATTTTCTTAAATATTTTTCATTGATTTTCAGGGAGAGAGAAACACCAATGTGAGATCAACACATCCATCAACTGCCTCCTGCATGGCGCCCTTCCCCTTCCTCCCTCTTCCCCCCCCCCCCCCCCCCCCCCCCCAAACACACACACAGGAGATAAAGCTGGCAACCTTGGCATGTGTCCTGACCAGGAATCAGGCAACCTTTCAGTGCCCAGGACAGCGCCCAAACAACGGAGCCACACCTGCCAGGGCTCTATGATTATTTTTAAAGGCGCGCTTTCCTTTGCCTCAGTTCCATGGCTTTAATGCCCAAAGGCCATATTCTCCACAAACAATCCTCAAGGGCTCCAGGGCAGCTTCCTTCAACCATGAGTTGTTTCCTCTCTAATCCATTCCTACTCTGTGAGCCGTGGATTCTGTTCTGCTTTCTGTATGAGGCCCACTCAAGGTCAGCCCCCTCCAGATGGGGATTTGCAGGGAAAAATAAAGCTCAGTGAAGCTGAACACAGTATAAAATGGCTTTTGAGGTCTCAACCAGCCAATGGATAACTTTGGGGAAAGTATGACATAACCCAATGGCCTTTGAATTATCAGGGGAAAGAAATACAAGGGGAAAATGAAACTCCTGGAGATAACAAATACGATATCCAAAATGAAAAATATACTGGATTGGATTAAGAACAGGTTCCAGGGGTGGGCAAACTTTTTGACTCGAGGGCCACAATGGGTTCTTAAACTGGACCGGAGGGCCGGAACAAAAGCATGGATGGAGTGTTTGTGTGAATTAATATAAATTCAAAGTAAACATCATTACATAAAAGGGTATGGTCTTTTTTTTTTTAGTTTTATTCATTTCAAACAGGCCAGATGTGGCCCATGGGCCGTAGTTTGCCCATGGCTGGGTTAGACACTGCAAAAGAAAAGATTAGTGAAGTCAAAGTCATACAAATAGAAACTGCCCAAAATTAAATGGGGAGAAAAAGATGGAGAATAAGCAGGGCAGCAGTGAGTTATGGAAAAATATAAAGCAGTCTAAATATGTGTAATTAGAATTCTAGAAGGAAAGGGGAGAGAGGGAGGGAGTAGAAAAATACTTTAATAATGGCTAAGTATTTTCAAAATTTGAAGAAAATTATAAGTCCACAGATTCAAGAAGCTCAATGAAATTCAAATAAAAGACATGAAGAAAACCACATCAAGGCACCTTATAATCACACTGCTACAATCAGTAATAATGTAAAAATTTACGAACAAAGATAATGTACAGGGGTGGGCAAAAGTAGGTTTACAGTTGAAATACAAACAAATCTACACTAATAAAAGACAAAGATGCTAATTGACCATACCTTTGCTACGCCCATCAGCCAATCAGAAAAGTATGCAAATTAACCCAACAAAGATGGCTATTAAATTTGCATACTGCAGGACAGTGCAATCCGCTGCCCACCCCACCACCAGCCGCCATCCTGGCCTACCATCTGCGACCCAGCACGGGATCCCGGCCTGCCATCTGCGACCCGGGGAAGCAGGGCAGGCACCACAGGATCGGGTCTGCCATCTGCCACCCGGGGAGCGGGCCTAAGCCAGCAGGTGGTTATCTCCCGAGGGATCCCAGACTGTGAGAGGGCACAAGTGGGGCTGAGGGACACCCCGTCCCCCCGCCAGTGCACAAACTTTTGTGCACCGGACCTCTAGTAATATAATAATAAATAATAATACAAGAATAAACTTTCATGTACTCACAACTGTAGACCTACCTTTGTCCACCCTGTAGTATTAGGAAACAAAGATAATTCTCATTAAAAAAAATGTAAACTAGGAGACTATGGAACAACATCTTTAAAGTACTCAAAGAAAGAAACCCATCAGCCCAGAAATGTATACCCATCAAAAGTATTTTTATTAATGAAGGTGAACTGGTAGTGGGATAAGATGGAGTAAACAACACTTCTCCCTATACCTGCCAAGTACAGCTAAAACCCCTCAATATTATATATAAAGAAAGTATAAGAAGACTCTGAAAGTTGGACAGAAGGCAGTCCAGGTAGCGACCTTAAGACCTGAGGAAAGATACAGTGGTGAGTTGCCTAGGTTTTCTTTTCCCTCATTTACCCTGGCCTGGGTTCTGGAGAAGTTGGCAACCGACATGTCAATTGGTGTAGATTTTTTAAAAGCCCCAAGAAAAGCCTGCTCTCTCCAGCCAAAGGACCAATAAAAAAGCAGCCTAGCATGACAGAAAACAAAAACACACACCACTCCACTCCTGTCAAACACTGCAGAAAAAACTAGTCCCACCTCATCCCCATCAGCAAAGGCTTCGTGAGGAACTTAGATTTCCACCCTTCCCTAATGAAGTGTCCCTCTGTCCCTGCAGGGGTGCTGTCAGGAGAGGCTTTGTGAGGAGCTGGGACTGTCATTTACACCTTGTGTTATTAAGCCTTCCCCCACGCAATGTCAGTGGCAGCCACGTGGAAGTAATAAAATGCCTCTCCACTCCAGACAAAGTGTTGTCAGTGGTGGTGGCCTAGTGGGGAGCCTGAAATTCAGCTTCTGCCCAGCAGGAACAAGAAATCCCCCTCTGTAGAGCTATCCACAGAGGCTGAGTAACTTGAATTCCAACCCCACCAAACAATAAATAACCAGGAGGTGGTGACCTTCCTTCTCTCACCAGAGTGGTGTTAGAGAAGGCCTGCTAAAACATAAGATTTAAATAAAAATCCTCAGTACCCACACCAAGACACATCATAATTAAAATGCCAAGAGCAAAAGACAAAGAGAGGATCTTAAAAGCAGCAAGAGAAAAACAGTTACCTACAAGGGAGTACCCATAAGATTGTCAGCTGATGTCTCAACAGAAACTATGCAGGCCAGAAGGGAGTGGCAAGAAATATTCACAGTGATGAATAGCAAGAACCTACAACCATGATTACTTTACCCAGCAAAGCTATCATTCAGAATTGAAGGACAGATAAAGAGCTTCACAGAAAAGAAAAATGCTAAAGGAGCTCATCACCACCAAATCAGTATTATATGAAATGCTGAAAGGTATTCTTTAAGAAGAGGAAGAAGAAAAAGGTAAAGATAAAAATTATGAACAAGTACATATCTATCAACAAGTGAATCTAAAAATCAAGTGAATAAAAAATCTGATGAACAGAATAAACTGGTGAATATAATAGAATCAGGGGCATAGAAAGGGAGTGGACTGACAATTCTCTGGGGGAAAGGGGTGTGGGGGGTGCAGGAAGAGACTGGACAAAAATCGTACACCTATAGATGAGGACAGTGCAGGGGTAAGGGCAGAGGGAGGGGTGGGAACTGGGTGGAGGGGTGCTATGGGGGAAAAAAGAGGAACAACTGTAATAATCTGAACAATAAAGATTTAATTTAAAAAAATAAATAACTTTTTACCTTAAAAAAAAATCCTCAGTACCATACATAATACTCAAAGTGCCCCCAAATTTGGCAAGACACAAATCTGAAAATTCAAGAAGTGGAGAAAATGCCAAGCAGAATAAACACAAAGAAATCCAGTCTAAGAAAGATAATAATCAGATTACTGAGTGTTAGGGTTGCCGAAGAAGGAACACATGTGGCCAAAGTGGTAAGGGATTATACATTTATTAGGTTATCTGGGTACTAGATGGGCTGAGCCCCCAAATGGTTCCAGCACCCAAAGATGGGGAGTCGGAGGTTTTCAAAGGACTCTAGGCAGGCTTTTTCTGGGTGGAGAATTCTCTGTGCATTTCTGGATCCTGGGAAGGTCCAGAGGGGAGAGATAATAGTCTTAGCAAGTGGGATGTGGTCTAAGCAAAAGGGAATGTCTGTTGTGAAGTGGCCTAAAGGTCAATTCCTAGGGGAGGGGTATCAATTCAATTATTTGATCAAACCTAACATTCTGTCCCCCCCCCTTTTTTATGGAATAGGGACAAAGGTAAATCTTCTGTAGTTATTTCCTGCTGATGGGGGGGAGGGGATCGAGATCCTAAAGGGATGGGCTCTGATTGCAGTCGGCTGGAACACTGTGTAGATTCCTCCTGGTTGGAGCGAGGGGTTGCAGAAGCATGATTTCCCCGAGACTGGTTGGTGAAGGCTCCAAGTGGTCTTGAAGGAAAGATGAAAAATGGCACAGAATAGATGGGCCAAAAACAAAGATGAGGAATAGGAATGTTAATGATCCTAAGAAGGGAAGTAGCCAGGTATGCCAATTTATATTCTTTAGTCAGTAGGCCCATGAATTTGACTGACATTCTCTGATCTTTGCAGCCCTCTCTGTTGGTTTTTGGGTGTCATCCCTGACTAGGCCAAACTGATGGACATAAAAACAATATTCTTCCTCTAGAAAGAGGCATAGGCCCCCTTTCTCTGCTGCTAGGAG